AATTCAGTGTATATTCCAATAAAAAAACCTTCTACAGGTACTGCTATCGATGTAAAAGTTTACACACCTAAAAAAATTTGCTTCTTCTAAAGTGCAATTTACAATAATATCACAAAGACTCGAGTTAAGTAAACTAAGTTAGACTAAATAAATAATAAATTTCCCACAATTTACTACTAAACATCAACCAACATACCTTGAGGTATCGATTTTAAACCATTTTTAAACAAAAATTTCGCTTGGGCTAAAGTCATCCCGTAGGGCAAAAGCCACCTAATCTTACGGTATTTAAAAAATGTATATTTTCAATATTTTTAAAAAAGAGAAGAGTTTGACACGCATCGCTAATTTTATTTTAGAATTAGGATATCATTCGCTTTTTTGCTCTGGGATTTTTCTTAAACTTTAATAAAAATGCTTATTAATTTTTGGTGAACTCTGCGAGGGAAATCTTTTTATATTTTAGGCTTTGTTTGTTAATTAAATATAGCGTTCCGTAATTTATAGACAACAAATTTACTGTTTATATATACTTGTTGCTGTTTCATTTGATGACAGTAATAAACAGAAAAAATTTTATAAATTGTATTATCGAAAATTATTTAATTATTCGGAAAATATAAAAAATTTAAAAAATATCCGGAACTCCGGAAATATCCGGAAAAAAAAAATCCTGATCTTTGCGCAGTCAAGCTATATTTCTTCTTAATTATTTAGGTTATACACGATTATTATATTAGTTCGGGCAAATAACTATATACGGTAATTAAAAGACTAAAAATAAATAAATATTGCATCACTTCTATTCCAAAATTTTAAAATTATACACAATAACTTAGAATAAAACTAGTTTGATTTTTACTTTCTTTGCAAATTTCGATCATATCTCATATAATTCGCGTATTCTTTGTTTAACACTAAAAGACAAATATATATGAAGAAACATAAAGTTACAACAAATCCAATTAAAAGCATTTTTAAGAACTAAATAAAAAACATTCGGAATAAACAAATAGAAATACCACAAATACCAGAAATTGCGCTAACTTTCTATTTGATGCTAACCTGAGTTTTTCTGCTTTCGAAAGATTATCGACTGTAAATTGTTTAGCAACATTATCTGAAATAGAATAAACAATACCTCAATAAAATGCAAAACTAATGAAATTGCCTCCAAAATAATTTTAATTGAATAAATAAACAAAATTAATTTAAAACACACAATCATGAAATAATAAAAAAAAAAATATGTCTAGTTTTACCTTTAAAAGATATATCTTTGACTTTAGATTTCTGGAAAGTTATTTTTTTACAAGTGTTATTTTGGCATTATATTTTTTTATAACATGAATTGCATGGTAAATAAATAAAATGAAATGGTACACTTTCACTAAGCAAAGAATCAAAAATTGTTTTTATAAATAGCTCTCTTTAAGACTAATGATTACTTTGTTAGGTGTTTTTTCTTCCAATCCGAACTACTTAAATTTCACTTAAACCCTTGACTATTTGAGGAAGTGGCATCTTCTTACCAAAGCCAATAATTTTTTAAATAAAAAGGAAGACATATCAGAAGCAATCATACAGAAAACTATAAAAAATGAATAAGGTTATGAATGTTAGACCATAATAATCCACAGCCTTAATAATCCAGTCATTCAAACCAATTTAATAGCATCTTAATTTGTATCTTCAGTGCATAGAGACCAGTATACAAAAGAAATTAACTGTATAGCCTTTTATTTTTTAAAACTCCACCTGTGATCTAGACTTTCTGTTTTTAACAAAATCAGATGGTTTTTTACCATCTGATTTTGTTAAAAGTCATGAGACTTTTCAGAAGTATGATTAATTTGAACATATGACAAAACACATACCTCTGGCTCCGTTTTTTCAAAATATCAATAATTGACGGACAATACCAAAACAAACTATATAATATAAACTAGATGATATATTATATAAACTAGATGCTAAACTTGCGGTCCTTTATTGAACAAAAAATGATGTCGCTTTTTTTGCTTAAAAATATACTTTTCCATTTGTAAAAAGTGTTAAAGCTGAAGCAAATGTGTGGAATAAAAGTTCAAAATGCAAGTCAAAATTAACCAATAAATTAAAGATAATTCAAAAACATCTTATAATAAATGTAAAGTACTTATCAAGGTTTATTTAAGGTTTATTTCTATTTTAAACTTTAGTCCCTTTTTAATCAAAATTAAATTTAGAAATCATAAATTATTATTTTACAAGTACTCTAATTTCCTATTAACACTTTTACATATATAGATTACATATATATATATTTAAAATATATTAGATATATAAAAATATATTTACTTCATATATAAGAAAATAGTTAAATAGTATTTGTTTACAAATTTAATCTGTCATTTGTAAAAAGGACAAAAGCGGCTTCACTTTTTAGATTGAAGTAAGACAACTAGTTTATATAAAATATCATTGGTTAATACACATGTGATCATTATGGAGCATACTTTTAATATCAATGGCCAGATGTGAAAACCAAGATAAATGTAATTACAATCATTTTTCAGTATTCACATGATTAGGTGTTTTAGTAACATTTATTTCCTATGACTATGTTGCTGCATTCAGACAAGGAAATTATATAATGAAAATTGTGCAACTAAATGTTAAACGGGCCATTGAACAAGGTCAAAAATTAAAAATCAGGACAAATATCAAAGGGTTTACTAAATGAGCACTTTTTATAGAGAGTTTAGCAAAATATAACATAGAATCACTTTCAAAAATATAAAAACTATTGGAATAGGCTTAAAAAAAAAATCACGGATTAAACTTCAATAATTATCACTTTCTTATAAACTGTTTACCAAACAATTAGCCTTTCACAATATAATTGATCTTGATATCATCATATATTTTTATTTGTTTATCTGTATGCACAAATATATAAACTTATATATATATATATATAGATATATTTATATATATATATATATATATATATATATATATATATATATATATATATATATATATATATATATATATATATATATATATATATATATATATATATATAGTTACTTATAACAATTTATTCATATATTGTTAATAATATTTTTAATATTTTGACATGGATACTTTATAGTATTATAAATACAAAAATTTTATAAAAATTTAGACAATTTTTATAATTCAAATTAGCATTTTTTAACTTTTAAGAAATGAACTTTTATAATAAAATACTTCAAAATGTTCTATTGATATTATTTTTATAGCTATTTTTATTAGTTTGCTAATGTGTTATATAAATATTCACATGCAATATATATACTTATTTAAAGTAATATTAAAATAATAATTAACAAAATCTTTGCATTTATTCATAATGCCTCCAATGTTCTGAATATACATAAAACAAATAAAAATATAAATGAAGAAATACAAAAGTTACCTCTGAATTAAGTCCTTAATTTTGCTAACCTTCCGCCAACACGTGAGAGTTGGCCTAAAAAAGAAAAAAATATAAAAAAGGCACATTGAAGTGTTTTACACATAAGATCTTATTTAAATATTTTTTACTGCATTCACCAAGGTCAAGCCTTAAAGACCCAAGCTTATTTAATAAACAGTTAGAACTGAATAAGTATTTTGCCATGATTCAATCAGAGCAATCATGGCAAACTCATAAATATAAAACATTTTTATTCACTAAATTTTGTAAAATTTTAAAACATTAGAATTATTCAATATTGTTTTTTCACAATTTTGTTAGGCTGCAACCAATCTAAAATGTTTAAAAATATTTATAGGCTGAATAAATAGGATGACATAATTTGTAACAGCAAATGATTTAGATTCATTTTAATAAAGTGATTGTAAATTTTTTGCTTGTTGTAAAAGCTGGGCGTAAAAATATATTTTTCCGGTTGTGTTCTCTAAATCATGTTAAACATATTGAAATCAAACTCAAACTGTTGAGCAAAACCTTTGTTACCAATTCTTAGGGTAAACTCGTTCAAATATTCTATTGTTAAGTTTAAGTTTAAGATTAAATAATGTGATTATGTATATTTAAGTCGACTTGTTCTGATTTTAAACACCTTGATAACTTAGTACTTTAACTCTGCACATAAAAATTGAAGAAAAATAATAACATTCAAAAATATATATTTTAATTAGGCATGAGTTTTATTCAAATATAAGATTAATTGGTTTTTCGGTTAGAAAGATAAGAGAATAAGTAAATGATAGTACTATGACGATATATATATATATATATATATATATATATATATATATATATATATATATATATATATATTATATACATATTTATATACATATATATATATATATATATATATATATATATATATATATATATATATATATATATATATATATATATATATATATATATATATATATATACATATATATATATATATATATATATATATATATATATATATATATATATATATATATATATTTATATATATATATATATATATTTATATATATGTGTGTACTTTGGTATAACATATCAATTTTAAAAACTATATCATATCACATATCATATACAAAAACTACAAACAAATATATTTGACATGTACTTTATTGAAATACTTCGGAGTTATTGAGTTGAGAGGGGGTTATAACAACAATTGAAATAAAAAGGAGCCTTCTCAACTGAAGCACCCTTTATGGCCTTTATGGCTAAAACCAGCTCTTTCTTCCAACTCTGAAATTAGGGAAACATGAGATTGTGATTCATTTTGAAAATTAAATACTGGCTGAGTGTATATTATCTAACACTTTGTGTGTATGACTAAGATCTAGTGTAAAATTTAGATGTTCTGTAGCTGTTTGTGTAGGATATGTTTTTCGCTTGCTTCATAGTGAGAAGTTATAAGTTCTATCCTTACCATGTTCCTGGTAGTAAGCCGGAGGTAAATAACAATTAAAAAAAAAAACTAAATACAAATACATAAAAAATTGTTTACCCTTTTTCGTGACTTGAGACTCAAACTTATGAGAGTCAGTGTTAGTTATAATATTGTAGGAATAGCATGATATGATTATACCAATATACAAATTCGTAAAAGAAACACATTACACAAGTTATAAGAAGCTTATTACTAATAAGCTTCTTATAACTTGTGTAATGTGTTTCTTTTACGAATTTGTATATTGGTATAACCTACCTAATAATATTAGGTAATTACCTAATAATATTAGGTAATTTCTAGTCTAGTTCCACAACAAACTAAAATACTTTCCATTCAAATAAATAAAATACATATTATGATTAAGAAATTGTCTTATTATAACTTAATTGTCTTAAATATATACTTAATATATTATGCATATTAAGTAAAAACCTTGTTTTAATACAACTCACAACTGTCTTAGACAACTGAATCGAATGTCTTTAAAAAAAAGGCTCTGTATTTTTGTTGGCATTTAATTAAACTGCTAAATAGTTTAATAACGAGTATTTAAAAAACTTATCATTGCATTATCTATTTGTAAATACAATATTATGTGCAAATATTATATATGTTAGAAATTTTTACTATATAAGTAATGTTAAATATACAAAGTATACAAAAGCATAACGAAAACGTCAACAGTTTTGAAAATCAAAAAGTTTTTGTAACTTTTATTTATAATTAATATGATAAAAGTTTAATATGTAATTCGAATGTAGAATATAAAGAAATAACGTATTAATTATTAGTATCACAGAATATAATGCCTAAAAGCCATTAAATTAAAATTAGATTAAAAATAACATCTTTTTCGGTTTTTCAACCATTTTAAAAATGCGCAAGTTTGTAAAATCAAGATGTGTTTACGTTAGAAAGTTTTAATGTTAACATTCAAGACTTTAGATGATAACGTTTTTCCGACGTTGTTTCAACGTTTGATAGCAAACGTTAGAACATTACCTTTATGCCGACGTTGGAACATCGTTGGAATTTAGTTAACTTGCGTCGCGACCAATATACAACTACGGCTTGACGTCTTTTTCGTACTGGGTATATACACATAATTTGATATAGTTATAAAAAAACTAAAACAAACTAATAGTTATATGGAGATGCACATTGTTAATCATCTTCTGTGATATATTTGACCTGTAAAAATGGCAATATTTTCGCAACTGTCAACTCAGTCAGAAATAACAGCTCTATATGATCTTGGCTAAATTAGAGTAAAATAAGTACATGAAAAGGTAATATAAAACTAGAAAGAAACTAAGTATGCTATTACTTCGGTGCTTTAAAAATGTCTGATATAAAACCATACTGAACTCTCACACATGAGGGCCCAGATCTATCCATATCAGCTTTTGTACACTAAGCTGATTTAGTACTTTTTCTTCTTTAAACACAAATGTTGATTTATAAGGATCCGTAAAGTTTTCTCTCCATAGTCTCAACATTTGCCTTTTGTAGCTTAACGTACTTATGAAAATTAATACCATCCGCACAATATCTTGTGCCCATAGGCAAAACAAGTCATGTCAAATTATATCTTTTTATAAGCTTTATAGCCTACACTCAGTATAAATCATGTCAAGTTAAAAAAACAAAAGAATTATTTATAAAAATGTATTTAGTTGTAAGTTGCTTTATCCTTTTAAGAACACTCTTGTTTGTAGAATACATTTAAAAATTACTCAAATATGTGTTTAACATATAATATATATATATATATATATATATATATATATATATATATATATATATATATATATATATATATATATATATATATATATATATATATATATATATATGTTTTTTATATGTTAAATACTTTACGTCCCAAGCAAGTATAAAATAAATTTCATGAAAACAACTCTTTTAGCGAGTCAAATTTTAAAGTAATAAATAAACAAAGTTAGGGGTAAAAATTTCTCAAAAAACAAGGGGTTGCACCCTGCATCACCAAATTCGCTGAAATTTGGCACAAATTTTTAAAGATATAAGTTAGGAAAGACTGTAAAAATTTTTCAAAAAATTCTTAGCCCTTTACGATTTACAGCAATATAAATTTAGTTATTTTTTGACTCAAAAAAGAGGGGGGATAAAACCGGAAATATATCAATTTACCATTACCCTTTTAACAAACTTGTAGTAATGCAAAACGCACTTGTTACCCAGTAAGCACAAAGACGTTTAAAAGACGTTTTAAAGATGTCTTTAAGGAGGTCTAAAAGGCGCACTTGTAGACGTCTAGATCATAAGGCTAAAAGACGTCTAAATAAAGACGTCTTTACAAAAACGCGTTTTAGACGTATGTTAGACGTTTTTCAAGATAAATTTGAGTACATGACGTAACATTTTCGCGTAGTATGTGGTATAAATTTGGCAACAATTTCATTGTATTTATAACATCATATATTGTTATAATTTTGTATATACAAAATATACATATGAACCAGTAATCAAAATAATATTGCTGTAATCACCACCAAGGGTTGATGCATCAAAGATGAAAATAATAAATAACATTAACAAATATATATCAAAACAGTATTTAAAACATTTATAACTTACCTTTAGTTACAATAAAATTTAACATACGTATTGCTAGCTAATTTTTGACCGCATACTTGACTTATTATATGGCTTGTGGGTATATAAAAACTAAAAGTACTGATATTTAACTTATATATTATTCTTGCCATTTTCACTTATTATCATGATCAGTCAACTATCTATTAAAAAAGCAAAATAATTATTAATAAAAAAAAGATATATTATTATTATAGCAATTATTTTAGTGATTCCTGTGACAACAATTTTAGCAATTGTGTAAAAAAGTAATTTAATTTAAAGTAATTTACACTTAAAACTTGAACAAATTATTGAAAATAATAAAAACTATGTTTTTAATTTGAATATACGACATCTACTTAACGCGTAATGACAAAGCCGTCAAAAAGAAGTCATAATGACATATTTATAAACAGGTCTCAGAAAAGATGTCTTTTAGCTTTGATCTAGACGTCTTTTAATGCGTATTTTAGGCTATTTATTACGCGTCTTTTAAACGTATTTTTAAACTTTAAAAAGACGCTTTTTAAACGTCATGTTAAAATTGCATTTATTAAAGACGTCTAGAAGATGTCTTTTAAAAAGATATCTTCTAGACGTTTTTTTAACGCTTAAATAGACGCCTTTTAAACGTCATTTTAAAAACGCCTTTAAAAAAGACGTCTAGAAGATGTCTTTAAAACGTCTATAAAAGTGCGTCTTTACCTAGACTAGTTTTAGACGTCTATAAGTGTCTAAAATGCGTCTTGTGCTTACTGGGTAATGACCATAAAAAAGGCCATTGACAACTATAGTTCTAGAAAAATCTGACTGATGAAAAAAGGTTTTGGTTTTCGTTATTTTAATATTAAACATATATCTACTTGCAAACCAATTTTTATTTGGCCTTATGTTTTATCAAGGAGTTATCGATGTTTTAGTTTTTCAATTTTTTTAAAAAGATATTTTGCAAAAAAAAAAAAAAATTTGCAAATATATTTTGAATACAAATACAATTATTTTTGTTTTGTAATAGCTTTGTAAAAAATTTACAAAATTATTACAAAACAACATTATTATTATGTAATGAAAGTAAAAAATCTTTTTACTTTCATTACATAATAATAATGTCATGTTCATTACATAATATCATGTCATTAAATTTAACAATATTATGTAACCTTAGTTGTTGATTGTTTTGTTGTAATAAAACATTTATTATCATCAATAAAAAAAGTAATAAAATGATATAATAACGTCTAATTAATATTACCATGTTAAGTTACATAACTAAATAAAATTATAATTAGTTATCTTTTACTTTTACACAACTTTTTGTAAGTAGTTAATGGAGAACTTACAGTAATTAGTAGATAGTTAGGCATTTAAAATATGTCTATTAAACTAATAGCTACTTGTTCAAGCAATATGTTCTTTATAAATACATATTGATATGATATTGTTTGTGTTCAAGTGTACTTTTCTTGTTAGGGACATTAAGATTATTTAAGATTTCTTGTATTAAGTGTTTAGACAGAGATTCCTCATTATATTTTTATATGGATAACAACATTAATAATTATGGAGCTTGTTATAAACAATTATATACTCAAGAAAGAAATCTGATTGAAGATATTGACAGCAATGATCGTAAGCTACTTGAAAAGTAAACAAATCTTAAACAAGAACAAATTACTAATACATGCACACACCATCATGATATGTTAGTTGTAAGATATAAGGGTAGTCAGAAAATTTGCTGTAATCCATTTCTGAGTCACCAAAAGGTGTGTAGAGGTAAAAATTTATGTATTTATATTTCATTAGGTAATATCATTATTAATAAGTCATATAAGTTTTTTTGGTAATAAGATTTGTTCAAAGTTTCATAGTTATTAATATAACAAGTTGTATAGTAATATAATTATATATAATGTATATAATTAATGTTATTTAAGTAATGTAATTACTTTCTTTTTAAGCATCTCTACGTGTGATTACAATGCATACTGTGTTAGAAGCAGAAACCATAGGTTTAAATCTTATACCTGGAAACAACTGTGTCCAACCTGTCGAAGTAAAGTTATGACATGTTAATCAAAAAGTATAAGTAAAAATAAAAATGATGAAGATTTTGATATTGTTAATGAAAGATCCATTCAAAATAAAAAAGAAAGTGTAGATACACACTTTGCATCTGCCGGAGTATCTCCAATTAAGGTCAAAGGATTGCACAAGTCAGGTAAAATCAGAGAAGGTAAACGAAAATTGACAGCATTAACAACCTCCATTAAAAAAAAAGGTAGCCATTTCCCTTAATATATCAGAAGAAAGTTTTGAAAAACAGTCAAGTTTTAATAATGAGTATATGGAAAAAGCAAACTTGTTTGATAACTTAATGGTATTGTTAACTAAAAAAATTGCATCAACATCAAAAAAAGTACAACTTGCGACACTTGATCTAACTAGGGATTGCAATCCCGCATTGCGTGATCCCACAATCCCGCGGGATCCCACATTATTTTAGCGCATGCGAGATCCCGCAAAACTACGGCGGGATCCGCGGGATCCGCAGGATTTGCTGAGTTTTGAAATTATTGCTTTTAAATTAAAAAAGCAATTCTTTAAACAAAGACAAAAAAGATTAGGGTTGTTCGCCGAAAAACAAAACTTGCGAAAATTTCGCATCTTTATCTACCGTAATAGAATTGTTATTGCGGAAGTTGCACATGCAAAAATGCACATTCCGTAACGCGCTATACGAAAATATAAATAAATAAACTTCCGTAATAAAGCATTGCGAAAGAAAACTTGCGAAACAAATCATTTCGTAAGAATACTTACGAAATACTTCCTTACGGAAAAAGCATTCCGGAATGTGCAGTTACGAAAAAGACGCAAAAGATTTTATGTTACGATATATTTAAGATATTAACTGTTAACAGTTTAAATAATAAATAATAAAATTATAAAAAAATGTTTTCAAATGATTCTTCAAATGTTTATGCAAGTATACCAAATATATATATATATATATATATATATATATATATATATATATATATATATATATATATATATATATATATATATATATATATATATATTAAAATGTCTTAACTGAATGAGCTATACGTTTATTCAACTAAGTGAATAGTAATATTTATTATATAATTAAGAAACTATATAAACTTAGTAAAGCAAGGGAAACGTGTAGAATTAAGCACAATGAACTCAATCTTAAAAGAATAACTAACAGAAGAGAGGTTGTCACTATTATGAAGGTGACGAAAGATCTGTAATATAGAATATGGAGGTCAAAAAATGCTATCATAAGTAAAAAGAGTTTGATGAACACAAGTTACAATGGCTGCGGGGTGCGAACCCAGATCTCTGCGGCGAATTATCACGTATCTAACTGATTGAACTATACGATCTTATACTTAAATTTATATCTTATTTAAATTAAAAAACAATTTTCTAAGATCTATACTTCGAAAAACGTATTCAAACAGGACTCTACATACCTTTAAAATCTGCTAGAACTTTAGTAACGTGCACACTTTTAGAAATTATTGAAATAGGTATATTTTATCAGAAATATGCTTAGGCTAAAGCATATTTTTGAGCCTCTTTTTACTATTTGCTTAAGCATATTCGAACCTGTTTCAAAAATTTCATATGCTTTTAAAAAAAAACATGTATATTCCTACTCATCATTCTTATTTTTAATATACGTAATGAGTTCAAAAAACATCGTTATATATATTTATTATGGCACGTTTCGTAAGTTTATTTCCGTTAAGATTCTTTCGTATGTTGTGATTCGAAATACTTTCGTTTCGAAAGAAATTTTATTTTTTATCAATATTTCTAAAAATAAAACCATAAAAATTTAATATGTTATTATACTGAAAATAAAAATTCATTATAAACAATTTGGGATTTAAAGATGTTAATTTTATTGTTTAATTTATTTTTTTAATGGTAAAAAAATAATTTTTACAATTAAAATCAGTCTGGCAAACAAATTTTCTTTATAGACTTCAAAACGTCGTTTGGCGAAAATGTTTGTTTCGCAAGTGCGACTTCCGAAACCGCTACTTTCGTATGTTGCAAAATAGTTTTGTTTCGTATGTCAATTTGCAAAATGCTAAACTTCGGAAGAGGCTTTTGCGAAATGAACATCGGCGATTTTAAATGTTTTGTAACATTCGGTACGAAAAAATGTAATTCCTCGTTCTCAATCTCCTTACGAAAGAATGTTGTTTTTCTGGAATTGCACGAAATCCTCCGGTTAACAACCCTAAAAAAGATATCAAATTAAAGTATTTAATGTACTTACATAACAAATTCATTTAAAAGTTTACTAGTCATTAAATGCACAAAAAAGTATATACTAAGAAACTCGTTCAAATTTTTTTTTGTTTTGCTAATGATTAGTCATAAAATAGTCATTAAGCGCGCAACGAAATGTATACTGAGAAACTCGTTCAAATTTTTTGTTTTGTTAATGACTATGTTGAAATTTGCTAATGAGTATATTGAAGTTTTTGTTGATGAGTATGTTGAAAACGTTAAATTGAAAACGTGATTAATAAAAAGCGCACTACTTTTTAAAAAGATTTTAAAAATTATTTACATCAAGATTTTAAAACAAAAGTTTAAAACTAAGCATGTCGCAAATTAAAACTATATGGAATTATTTTAAAAAAAGTAATAAAGGAGAAAATGCAAAGTGCATGTTATGTTCGGCTATTTTAAAAATTAGTCAAAGATCAACAAAAGGGTTATTAATCCATTTAAAAACTAAACATGGAACTGATTTAAAATTAAACGTTTTACAACAAGACGGAGCTTCAACTTCAAAAAAGCATGAATCAGTTGAACTAGAGTCTAAAGTATACATCGACTGCAAAGACGAAGAGATAATTATATCAAAAAAGGTCAAAACAATAGACACGCTTTTCGTAAAAGAACTTTCTATGGAAAAAATGGTATCGCGCATGGTTGCTAAAGATGGCTTTACATTTAATAATTTTTGCACATCTTCAGATTTGCGATATTTGTTTTTTTAAGATCGATGGTAGTAAAATTCTCAGATTCTGTAAAAGCCGATATAATGCAAAAATTTAAATCACTAAAAAAGCAAAATCAAAAGTTTCAATAACGTTTGACGAATGGACATCACAAAATAGCCAGAGATACCTTAACTTAAATGTACATATGGAGGCAAAACACTTAAATCTTGGATTAATTCGAATCCATGGATCATGTAATGCAGAATATTGCGTCAAGTTAGTTGCAGGAAGGCTAAATAGCTTCAATATCGACCTCCAAAAAGACATTATCGTCATGACCACTTATGGAGCAAGTGTGATGGTGAAAGTCGGTAAAATGATGTTTTGCTATCATCAACTATGTTATGCTCATGGAATACAACTTGCAGTTATTGATATCTTATACAAGAAAAACAACGGAGAAGTTGAAGAATCGTTTACTACAAATGAAAATTGCGAAGAAGAAGATGAACATAAGTACACTGATGATGATGAAGTTATAAATAAAGAATATGGTTTGACAATAATTTTGGACGGACCATCTGCTGAATTAGTTAGCAATTACAAAGATCTCATGAAAAAAGTGAGAAAGGTTGTGAAAATATTTAAAAACTCTCCTGTCAAAAATGATTGACATATGACATATCCTGTCAAAAATGATTGACATATATTGACATATCCTGTCAAAAATGATTGACATATATTGACATATCCTGTCAAAAATGATTGACATATAAAATGACATATTTTCAGAAGTATATCCTACACGAACACGGCAAAAAGCTTAAGTTGATTTTTGATTGTAAAACTAGGTGGAACAGTATTTTCGATATGTTAGAAAGATTTCATAGACTAAAAGTGTGTATTGAAAAAGCCTTAATTGATGTTGGGTCAGAAATTCGTTTGACCCAAGAAGAATGGTCCTAAATTAATGACTTAACTATTTGTCTGGCACCACTAAAACTTGGTCTCGAACTATTATGCAGGAGAGAATCAAACCTTGTCACTGCGGAAACATCTTAAATTTATGTTAGATAAATTACGAAAGCAATCATCACTTTTGAGCATTGATTTAGCCGCGGCACTTCGTGAGAGGTTTACACAACGTCGTAATAAGAATTTAAATGGACTACTGGCATACTTACAAAATCCTAAAAAATATGAACAAGAAATTAAAAAAAATGAAAATACTTTTTCAATGCCAAAGAGAACCGTTATGCGTCAAGAAATAAAAAAAATATTGACAAGAGTTTATACAATTGAAAGAAATAAAGACGAAGAAAATGAACTCAAAGAAAAAGAAGTTGTAGATTCTATTAACTATTCCCAAATACTTACTCCTACAACTCTATCGCTGAAAAAAGTATTGGAAAATCATATACAGAAAGACAAGAAAAGCTGGACAGAAAATGTAAAGGAGATACCAAATTTAGATTCTTTAGACTTTGATAAATTATTGAAGCAGGAAATGTCTGCCTATGAAAAAACGGAGTAAGAGGCAAGTTTGTAGATATAGCTCATAATTACTTGATGACCATATTACCAACAAGCGTAGAGGCCGAGCGAGCTTTATCAGCTGCTGGCTATACATGCAGTCCTTTGAGGAGTAGATTATGTGATGATACTTTAAGTAGGGTCTGTTTGTTAAGAGCGCATTTCTTACAATGATACTTTCTCATACTTATTTTTAAAAATAAGTAAGGCTAAAAGACGCTCTACGTAAAGCTAAAATACGTTTTACGTATTTTTATCTAATCCTTTTGTTCATTAAATTACAATGTTCTCGTTTCCAAGTTTGATAAAATAAATCAAAATATAAAGAATGACAGGAGCAAGTAGAAGACATAAGTCTTGTCGTCAAGCCAATACAATTTGCGTGATATATTTTTTACAAAGTATCCATAATATATAAAATATAATAATTTATACTCACTATATAAAGCAAATTAAAGTAACAATAATAAAATAAAATTTGCTAAATTAAATAAATTAAGT